CTGGTTCTATCCAAAGTCAGAGTGTGTCTAATTAAATAAGAATAAGACAACAACCAAAAAGAAAAATATTATTAGTGATTGCAAGATGATTGACAGAATGCACAAAAAGCAAGAAAGCCATTTAATTGGATTATTATTATTATTTTTATTATTATTAATAATTTCTGGTAATGAAACCAAGGATTCCTCAAAAGCGCCCTGGCCCTAGGCACTGTAGCTCGCAAGCCTGAAGAAACCTGTGGAGAGAAGACAATGAGAAGAAGTTACAGATTGAAGCAAGTCAAATAATTATAACGTAGAAAAAGATCCAACAAACCATAAGGCATAACAACTTCATGGAGTTACATTTTGTAAATTTGGACGCATTATAATGTGCAGACCTTGGCTCATGCACAGGGAAATATAATCCACATCTTTTCTTGGCTGGTTTTGGGGGCAAAAACGATCTAGATTTGGCCAGTAAACAAGGAATATTTTCAGTCCAGTCTCACAGAGGGCGCCGTTTGCGAAACCGGCAAACGTTTGCGAAACCGGTCAAAGCACCGACCTCTACAAAATGTCCTGGCAAATTTCTCTTTCAAACGATCGCAGAAAACTATTCATATCATGAAGTAGGTGAGTAATTTGCGCATATTTTTAGATAGGTAGCTTCCTGTGAAAGCGCGTTTTTTCGCCACAAGACGCTTCAGACGATTTGCGATTGCGGAACCGGTCAAACGACTGTACCAGTCACCAATTTTGCGGGGGTGGGGGTTGGGGGGGGGGGGGAGTTGCATGACTGGAGCTCACCCTAGCTCTAGCTCTGTGAATATTTTGTGACATGGCTCTTACGTCATATGAAACACATTACTTTCTACAAACGAGGAATCGGGATAGGGTGGGATTAATGTTGCAAGGCAGCAGTTGCGTAACTACTATGCCCCGCCCTTGAGTCCTCCCCGAATTTGGGGTTTTTTTTCTCATAATAGCAGATCTATTGAGTGCACGCCCAAAAGGTCCCTCCCCTACTGTGGCCTACACACTGGACCCCAGCCTATATGCCAATGGTGGGCAGTTGTCACCCCGCTGAGAAGTCGGTGCGGCCGCAGCGCGCTGTCCGAAAAACTTTACTAAGTGGCGGAGCCTATAGCGTTCGGAGGGTACCCCAACCCCACCCGTGTTTAGCAGCTGAATAATAATGTTATGATATTAAGTTCCTAAATGTTTTCTCATGCCTTAGAATGCACGAGTATAGGTCATCACTTCAAATATGTTCCGGGGCCATGCCCCCGCGGATCCCCCTAAGGCGTCGCCTTCTGCACGTTTTCACACCCCTCCCCCTCCCTGTTTCCTGAAAGATAGATCGGCCCATGAACTTGACCTTGAATTCAAACTGGAGCACGGGATTTGCGGAACCTGCGACCTGCAAAGAACCGGAAGGGTAATCCGATGGTCGCAAATCCCGCAGCAATTTTTTTGTTGAACTAAGTTATTTGCCTAATTATGCACTTATAATGAGTAAGATTTGAGGCTTTGCATGGTGGAGATACTAATGAAAGGTTTGCGGAAACACCATGTGCGAATAATTTCTCAACTAAGAGAATGGTTCTGAAAAGAACCAGAGGTATAAACTCGACGTTCCGGTCAGTATGCTCTGACCGCGAAATTCCCCCTTTGTGGTTTATTCAAATAAACTTTAAATTTAATTCGATTAGTGCCAATAAAGCAGGAATGAGAATAAGGTCTTAACTTTACAAGTCAAATTTATTACTAAAAATGCCCTTGTGAAAAAGTGAAACAAAGGAACTTTTTTGCAATTTCGTTCAGATTTAATTTTTCACGTATAAAACACTAAATTGTTTCAATCGCATTTGCTTTCCTGTTGGAATAATTCGCATGAAAATATACTCTTGAATGTAATACATCATGAAGAATTATTGGACGGAATTTCCATTTAGTACAACCAGTAAATCATGACTTATCAACCGAACCGTGGAGTACTTTTGTCATGTATGATGACATTAATTGATTTGGTCATATTTTTTTTGTTTGTTGGTAAATTCTCATGAAATTGAACTGGCGATCGTGAGAGGAAATATTGAGTTAATACATTAATCACTTCTTGAGATATTGCTCGAACCATGAGTGTCTTCTTGTAAGGAAAAAAATCATAGAGGGTAGCAAAATGTACGGAGCGTCCTAGTGCACTGTTGACCGTTGGTTATTGTCGTTGTATGTATTTTTTTTCTTCCACGGTTCCAGTCGATTTCCACTTTTTCTGTCATTACATCACGACTTATTATCGAACGAAGTTTCGTTTCAGTACAAATTGTTTTTCTGGAGTTACTGTCTCCAAAAGAGTGCTTCATTTTTTTTTTCAATTAAAATAGACTCAGATTCGGAATGAATTTTTCGTAATTCTACGTCAATTTTCAAGATTCTTGTGTCAAATATCATGGGTAATTACTGGACGCAATTTGAAACCAATGCAATATGTTGTTCTTAAGTTATCGTCTCAACAAAGAGTGTCAAAAGAGACTAAAATTCGGAATGAAGTTTTCGTGATTAAATTAAACGCTTAGTCCTATTTGCTTTAAATAAGGGAATAAATGTGTGCTCCGGAGGTTTTTATCACTCGTTTAATACCGCTTAGAGTCTGGGTGCTGATAATTACCCGAGCCGGAAATTCAAAACGCAACGCCCCAGGTGCGTTCTGCGTGACATCGCGCAGAACATGCTACGCGCGCGTCAATCTCCATAAAAGGGTTGTTTACATCTTAATCGCAAGCTGAATACTCCATTATTTTGCTAGAGGGATGTTTCAAAAAGCATGAAGTGAACTTGTTGAACAAAATCGGGATTTTTTGAACGAATTATTTGATTTTTTTTACGGATAAGGTATTTATGAATGGGAATAAATATGTGCTCGGTCGGTATTTATCACTCTGTTTAATACCGCTTAGAGTCTGGGTGCTGATAATTACCCTCGCCTCCGGCTCGGGTAATTATCAGCACCCAGACTCTAAGCGGTATTAAACGAGTGATAAAAACCTCCGGAGCACACATTTATTCCCTTATTAAACAGAGTGATAAAAACCTCTCGAGCACACATTTATTCCCTTATTAAATGTATTCTTCATCGGTACACGTCAATTTTCAAACAGGTTGTGTCATCACATTTTATGGTCAATAATCGGACGCAATTTCAATCCGATACAATATGTTGTTCCGTTGAGTTATCGTCTCCACAAAGAGTGTCAAAAGAGACTAAAATTCGGCATGAACTTTTCGTGATTAAAACGCTTTTACTCAATAGTAGTGAGGTGTTGACGCCATATTTAATTGTCGTAAAAGTTGGTATCTGAAAATTTCTATGCAATACCCCCTACACCGGGGGTTTGTGTAGAAAATACGGTTATTTATTATTACTCCCCATCAGGTTAAATTAACTTCGGCAGCGACCGCAAGCCCCATTTCAAAGAAAAATTTAAGACCGAATCAAATTAAGGTACCAACTTTTACGACAATTAACGTTCTGGTAATGAAAATGAACGGCCCGCCCGAGATCCCAATATTGTGTGGAAGCCAATAATTCGAATTTTGTGAAGAAGTAATTCAATTTAAGTTCGGTGGATTGTTTTCGATTTTGCTAGGGAAAAAAAACAGTTAAAAAACAACAACCTATTTTTCGAGTTGAAACTCGAAACGGGTATAATAACGCATCTTTAAAAGCATGATGATTTTCTTTATTTTAGGGTATTTTCAACCCAAAGTAAAAACCTTTTTTTCCCGTTCCAGCCGCCCAAAGAGTGTTTTTTAATTCCATGAAAATGTCACATACAAACTGAAAATTTGTTAATTAAGAAAAAAAAACCCGAATTTTGTTGAAGAGAACTATGAGAACGTTATATGCAGAGAGCAACTTTTAAATAAAACATACAAATTAAAATTCCTCTGGAGAATTTTTTTTTTTTAGTTTGTTGAAAAGTGTGGAGACTCGGACTGTAAGTCGAGATGGGATCTGAATCGCTTTTGTCATGTTATATTTGATAAGAATTATTTGTTCATATTTTTACTGAAAGTATTTATTATGCAGGTTGAAAAATAGAAACAGTCACCAACGATCGACGTGGAAGAAAAGACGAACGAACACATTACATCCTAGCCCGACTGCGTCTGGCCGTACAGTACTATCGCAAGCTCTGTAGTACGGCCAGACGCCCGATGCTTCCACAGAGACTGAATTTTGTTGGCCGCCGATGTAGCGATTTTGCTACATCTTTCGATCCCGATTATCTTTTCATCCAGGACACAAATTTCCAAAGTTAAGGTTCGTAGTCGTAGAGCAACTCATACCTTTTCGAAAAAACGTTGTTTGGTCTCAATATTTTCATCCATCTGGCCACAAGACGAATTTCAGTCATCAGATTCCACAAATATCGTCCCCCATGCGATCCCCCATGCGATTTCAAAATGGCGGCCGCGCTGTAATGTATGCAATATGCAGGCGCGCCCGCGCAAACTCATGAATATGCATAAACAGTCTGTGACGTATGACCTCGTGTTTTTGGAAATACGGCCCCGCCGCACGCACGTCCAAAAACACGAGGTCATACGTCACAGACTGTTTATGCATATTCATGAGTTTGCGCGGGCGCGCCTGCATATTGCATACATTACAGCGCGGCCGCCATTTTGAAATCGCATGGGGGATCGCATGGGGGACGATATTTGTGGAATCTGATGACTGAAATTCGTCTTGTGGCCAGATGGATGAAAATATTGAGACCAAACAACGTTTTTTTCGAAAAGGTATGAGTTGCTCTACGACTACAAACCTTAACTTTGGAAATTTGTGTCCTGGATGAAAAGATAATCGGGATCGAAAGATGTAGCAAAATCGCTACATCGGCGGCCAACAAAATTCAGTCTCTGTGGAAGCATCGGGCGTCTGGCCGTACTACAGAGCTTGCGATAGTACTGTACGGCCAGACGCAGTCGGGCTAATTACATCCAAAAGACAAACGTAGGTGGCGTGCTTTGCAAACTTGTACGTACGCGTGTTACATACATGGAGGCAAGTTATGCAAAATTCTCAAAAATTCTTTGACTGAGCTGAGCAGCTATGGGAAGCACAGCCATGGATTTGTCCTCGGTGAAGGTTGTGGTTATTGGGGGTGGGCTGGTAAGTATAATCTGATTGTTAAATAATATTTGGAGAGTTGTCATGAGTTGTCCTTGCTTGGTCATGGTCGTGTTAAGTTTACGGAATTTACGTCGTTTGTGCATGGAAGGAAAACATAAGGCCTACACTGTGCAGTGTGCACTAACCAGTACATATACATGCAGTATGAGACTGGTCTGACAACAAATTCCAAGTGTTTTCTCAATAAATGCTTCAATATTTTCCCTGCGAAATTTGACTTTTTAGGACATGTTGTCGCCTTCTGATGGCTGATAGGGCACTGTAGGGAAAATTAGTGTCGTCCATGAATGGAATATTCTTCCCAAATTGGGAATTGTGTAGCCCCTAGCCCCATAAATGTGGCCAATTTACTGGACTACCTCCGTAAATAAAGGCCACACTTCCACCATGTACAAAAACATGTCGAACTTTGTCAAATTTTGATTTTCACACTGTACTCCTGTAGGCTTAGTTTGTAGTTTATTTTTGCTTTAGATTAGAACTTAGTCTTAGAAGCATACTCACCCTCTTTATAGGCTAATCAGAAAGTGCTGCGTTTTTCAGATGTCTAATTTTCGTGAAATTTCATGGTGAAATTTTGATACGCAAACGTGTGCAAACGAATCTGGAAATTTCACGAAAAATAAAGAGGGTGAGTATGCTTCTAAAAAAAACAAAAAACCTACAAACTAAGCCTAAGTGTGAAAATCAAAATTTGGCAAAGTTCGACATGTTTTTGTACACGGTGGAAGCATGGCCTTTATTTACGGAGGAAGTCCAGTAAAATTGGCCACATTTATGGGGCTATGTGGCCCCAAGCAGTCTTGTTTTGTTTTAGATTAAAGTTTTAAACTGACTGTGGGTTTTGTAATTTTGATTAGAAGGCCTACTTTGGAAGAAAATGTGCATTTTTCTACCGGTTTGAGCACTTACAGACGTGCTGGTCACAGCATGCAGTTCAGGTGCTGTCATCCTTTATTTTTAATGTCCAAAAAAGATTATTTTTAATGTCCAAAAAAGATTTTTTTAAAAATAAACCCTGCCCTCTTTCTAAAAAATTAAGCCTGCTGATATTCCTTATGGCATTTTACTAATTTTTTTAGCGAACTTAAATTACAAAGCTACATTTCCTGCTGGTAACTATTTTGGTACTTAAGGTCCCTAAACATAAAAGTGTCTTTTCGTTCTCTTATATGGAATGGGGTCCTAAGGCCAAAAAAAAAAGAAGTTCTGCTTCCGGTTACCCTACCTACATGTACCCTACGTTGACAGCCCCTACCCTAATTTTTTGGGGAAAAATGAGGAAAAAACCCTGAAAACCATCAATTACTACCTTTTACCCTTGACTACATGCAGACACCTCCATATGATCGTACACAAAAAAATTGCCAAAAACCAAACAAACCAAAATTCCCAACCTACCTACCCTATTTTCAAATGCCATGTAATCAGAAGCAGAACTATTTTATTTTTGGGGGGCCTAGCTTATCTACACGATTAACGATTACTAATTGAGATTTACAAATGTAAACCCCCGATTACCGATTACGAATTGAGATTTACAAATGTAAACCCCCGATTACCGATTATGAATTGAGATTTACAAATGTAAACCCCTGTTACCGATTACGAATTGAGATTTACAAATGTAAACCCCCGATTACCGATTATGAATTGAGATTTACAAATGTAAGCCCCCGATTACCGATTACGAATTGAGATTTACAAATGTAAACCCCCGATTACCGATTACGAATTGAGATTTACAAATGTAAACCCCCGACTACCGATTACGAATTGAGATTTACAAATGTAAACCCCCGATTACCGATTACGAATTGAGATTTACAAATGTAAACCCCCGATTACCGATTACGAATTGAGATTTACAAATGTAAACCCCCGATTACCGATTACAAATTGAGATTGAACCCTTAGTTTTCTTAATTATACATCTGAGTTGCCTGTTTGTTTGCACATTAACATATTGACTCTGCTCTCCATAAAGCAGATAGGGTCCATGAAATGAATTTTTCTTAGTGAACATATTTTGTGCGACTTTCTGCCTTTTCTTAAATGTATGAAAACTATTTGACATCTCTTTTTGGTTAATTTTATTGAAAGAGTGCTTTTCTTTAACCTTTTTCAAATTGTCTTTGCTTTTCTGTACAACTAAGGACGCTGTTGCTGTGATGTCATTTCAGGAAGACACTGTTCTGTTTCTAGGGTTTTCTGTTTGAGTTGCAAACCCAAGATTTGCTCATTGAAAACATTTGTGAGAAAGGGTTGCTCCTTGGCTTACTGACATTTACACAACAAAGAATCACCAAAGAAAAGAACATATACGATAACAAAATATCCAACATTCTATTAACTTTCTGTGCTGAAATAGCTGAAACATTGAGGTTTCTGCCGGGAATGACATCACACTTTTTTATATAAGTAGTGGGTATTTATATAAAGCGCACATATCCACCAGGACTGGTGCTCAAGGCGCTACATCATTATCACCCCTGCTCATTGGGCCCATGAAACATTCCTAACACCATCTCAGCTGAGCATACAGCTCGATGCACTGCCATTTCGGTGCAAAGCAGCTATATCAACCACACTAACCATTGCTGCCCTCACAGGTACCCATTTACTCCTGGGTGGAGAGTAGCAATGAGTGACAAAGTGCCTTGCCCAAGGGCACACCCACCATTACCCCAGGCTGGGCATGTAGCATTAAAGATATAGTCCATCATTTGTAATTTGTGCATTTTGTTCGTTTGAAACAACAACAGTGTTCAAAATCTAATGAAGGGTACTGAACAACTAACCTGATGAAGTTTCAGCTCAGCTTCAGCTGTATATTCCGAGAAAAACAGCATTCTAGGATCTCAATTTCAAATCAAAAGTTGCTGAATCATGTTTTGAATTGTTTTGAGTTGCAGCTATATGCGATGTCGCGCACTGATCCGACGAATTATAGCAACCGCGGGCGCCTGTGCGTCGTGCCAATGCTTGCGCGCGCTGCGCCGAATAACAAAACGAACGTCTAATTTAAATTTTCCTACGGTGCGTCTTAAGACGCACTGTTGGAAAGGCCTTCTTTCGTTGATTACTTCAAAATGATAGCTTGCCAGAAAGATTAATTTCACAGGGAGTTCAGTCCACTTACTATCTTTCAACCAAGTACGTTTTTCAACAATAATACGCCAGTTACTTTTTCGGATGGCTGCAAATGATGGACTATAGCTTTAAATGTAATCTTGGTAATAATGAGTAAATACTGATATTTATACTCCTACCTTTATACTGACAGGTTGGAGCAATGGAGGCTATCTTTATGGCCAAGCGAGGCTTTCAAGTTGATCTGTATGAGTCCAGAGAAGGTACATATAGGGCCTAATACACTTATATTCAGAAGAAAACAGTTGACCAGAGGGCCAGCCTAGTGTCTCACTGACTGACTGGCCCACTGACTCCCCGACTGACTCTCGGATTGACTTTCACTTGTGAGTCGGGCAGTGCTATCGTAAAGGATTACCCGGTTACACCTATGAATTAGGCCCAAATTTGGCCCATTGTGCAGGCCAGATGCATGAAAAGACTTCCAGTGAATAGCCGTGCTGAATCAATTGAGTAGAATGTGTGTGCACTCGGGGACCAGCTTTACTAAACTTGCCTTGTCTTATTTGTTAATCCTAACCAACTCCATCAAAATCCATCCCCCCCATTTTGGTGGATTTTGGGGGACTTGGTCCAGAAGGCCTGGCGTGACTAAATATTGATGGAGTATGATGGACTTGGGCCTAATGACCTGAAGCAGTGCTAGGGGTATCCGATTGATTTTGCCTAGCTTCCTGTACTGCTATTGTGATAAAAGCCATGTGTAGCAAGTCCATGAATGTCAACCAGTGCGTCAGTGGTGGATGCCATTATGTCATGTACAGTTTTGTATTGGACGCACAGTGATTGATGGATTGTGATGGAATTGGTCCAGTTCCTAGTCAAAGATGCTAGGGAGTTTTTATTCAGATTCATTTCACAGATTTTTCTGGGAAGAAAAATTGCTATGTGGGTTTCTAAACATGAAAATAAATTTGGTTTGTTTGATTTTTGTTCAATCAAAAATCACTTTAGAAGAAATTAATCCTTCACACATTTGATGCAAAAGTCATTCAAATATTGTCGGCATGCATATTATTATTGCAATATTTATTACAGGAATCTGGAGTTTCTTTTTTCCATAAGTGCCATTTTGAAGTACTATGTGCCTTACTATACGTGCGTTTCCGTTGGACAGATATCCGCACTTTGGAGCATGTGAGTGGGAGGAGCATTAACCTGGCGCTGTCTATCCGAGGAAGAGAAGCATTGCGATTGGTCGGTTTGGAAGACCAGGTGAGGAGAGTTTTGTATATATAGTGTGGTATGGGTGGCTTGTGTGTAAAGCGCTCGCCTCTCACCAAGGTAACCACGATTCGAATCCTGGCCGCGGATCACATGTGAGTAGAGTTGTGCGTTGGTTCTCTCCTGTGCAACGAGGGTTTTTCTCCGGGCCCTCCGGTTTTCTCCCTCCGGAAAAATCAAACACTTTTGATGTCGGGCTGTGCTCCGTGGTCATATATGGGTCGATGTGGCCGGCAGCCATAGGCGCCTTTACGTGCCAGCGGCCCGACCACGTTGTAGCCGCGTCCTTCGCAATTCAACATACCAGCTGCGAGTAAGGATGATTAGCCTCCCAAATTATTGTTATTATTATATGCCACTGCACTCCGTGAGCAAGTACCCCCCAATGTTTCAAAAGGGAGAGTTGGGGGGGGGGGACACTGAGAGTTTGGGAGGGACATTCGAATGCAATTAACAACAGTGCCTGATGGTCATGCCAAGACGCTATGCCTTTGTTCACATTCAAAATAAAATGAAAAGTGCGTATTATGCGCTAAACGTGCGCAAACCACTTCACACACCCGTTGTCCCCCTCCCACTGCGACTTTTAAATGTGGTCACAAAGCGTTATCTACTGCTCTCGCACGGAGTCCAGAACTGATCTATTTCCGACGTTTCCGTACGTCTTCATCATAAACACCGCAAAAAATTGAAAGGCCACACTTACTGGAGGGGTCATAATTTAGAATCCAATCATCTTATGATGACGTCATTTATATAGACCTTTGGGAATTTTGTTTGCTACATTTTGATACCCCGTTTGCTACCAAAGACTGTAAATAGTCCAAGATTGACAACGGTTTATGAAAAAGGATGCAGTTTGAAAAGTTGCAAATTTAAAGAGTACGCGAGGAGCAGTTATCTGAACAATGGCAAGTACAATGCCCTGCCATTAAAGGGGGCCTCCGTGATAGCAGTGATCGCATGGCGTGATGGGCCTATACATTCATGGTGTGCGTTGTTTGATTCTCATTCAGATTGTTGGTGGGGGCATCCCGATGCATGCCCGTCTCATCCACGGTGTTTCAGGGAGGAAGTCCGCCCAGCCTTACGGAAAAGAAGGGCAGGTATACACAGACTCATGTTGTTTATATCGTAGTTTTTGCCATCACTCATAGGTTTTCTGGCACATTACCTTGTGGCATGGGTGGCTAGTGCGTAAAGCGCTCGCCTCTCACCACAAAAAAGGTGTGGGTTCTTTCATCAAAACAGTTCACACACATCCCTATGTGATTTCTTTTTGTTTTGCTGAAAGTACGCTGAACTTTTTTGTGATCCGTGGACAGAACCTTAAAACGGTGGTTGTGTTTAAAATTCCGTAACTTTAAAAGTATATGAGTGATTTGAATGATTCTTGTACTAAAAGGAAGCCTATGAGTTGGGCTTTCGTATCCTAGATTTTGAAAGTGCTATATGCAGAACTTCCCTAAAACAATGGTCCCAACATTTGGGTTTCGTTTTTTTTGTACTCTGCCCATCGTTAGGAGACTGAAGGGTTTCCAACGGTGAAGGGGTGTTACATGCATGTTGAGTGACTGGAAGCTACGAAGCGCGTGGAGGATGCAGCAGTGGAGTCCTCAGGGGAGAATTTCCTTTTACGTTTTGCCTTGCATGCCATGCTTGGGCTAATGGCGAGTTTTGAATTACATGTGAAGTACCCCCTCAAGCTATTTTTTTTTTTGTCTTACTTGTTTCTATATTTTGCCTAATTTGTTTAAATATTAATTTTGCAGTTCATTTCATCAGTTGACAGGCGGCTCCTGAATGAAACACTTTTAACAGGTTTGTTATGCATTGCATCTTTTTTATGCATTTTATCTTAACATAATTTGATTTACTAATTTCACCTCTCCTCTCCCGAGTCATGAGTTATGCTGGTCGAGTCCGAGTCACGAGTCACCTTTATCCCTAACAGAACTCAACCCGTCAAACCCCAACAGCATGTTTTGTTGGAATCTGTCAGGATGGGTGCAGTACCCCTAAACTGACAGTCTTTCACATTGGGTTGGCACACCTCCAGAATCAAAGTCAGAAATATGTGTGTGCAGTTTCCCATATGGTTTTGGAATTTGCCAGGATGGGTATAATTCCTAGTAAATCATGCTAGGGAGTTAGGGTTAATATATATAGGGCTCGTTCAGTGACGGCCATTTCTGTAGGAGAACTGCAACTGCGTATTTTACGCAATCAAGCACGCATTGCGCAGTGTTGAAAATGTTCCAAACGCACGCGCTTGTTGCTCGAAATGTGTTCAAAATACGGCGCAGCCGATGCGCATTATGCAAGTTGACGCTCTAAATACCGATGCACATGGATGGTCTGTAGGAAATGACGTCATTTGAACGAGACCTATTGCAAATACATTTTGGGGTACTGCTAAAACCTCACACCGTAAATGTTTCCGTTTTTTACAGCTTTTGTTTAATTTAATGAACTGGACATAAGGGGCAAGGCACCAGTGTTCTGGAAAGGATAATCTGGAACCCAACACTATCAAGCTTGCATTTAATACGCAATATCGAGTGTGGATGCTGAGGCACATGTTTCAATACATTGATTTCCCAAGTGCTTAGATGCGCTTTTTTCTGCACCGCACGGACTTTAACGCTTGCTCAGGAGAGGATCCTCTTCAAAATAATTTTGTAATGATATTGTTTAAGAAATAAGTGATTTGTGGTAATTTTGATCGAGTCCCGGGTCACGCAGGTCGAGTCCAAGTCCGAGTCCTCGGGGTCGAGTCGGTGTCTGGGTCATTTGTCATCGTGACTCGAATCTCAGTCCAAGTCATTTGTCATCGTGACTCGAGTCGTACAAGTCTGACTGACACACACTCATAACACTTGATTGCCATTGGCAACATGGTGTCGGACTGAAATAATGTGGTTTTTCAACAACAGGGGGGAAAAAAGATGTAAATGACATATCAGCTTTTGTTACACTTGGCGGAGAATCACAAAATTTGTGCTTTTGATTCTTCACTAACCATATTTTAAGAGTCTGGGTCACAACAAATACTCGTAATGTCTTATATTTACGGAAAAACTACTCAAAACTGCCATTTGTTTACATCCGATGAACATTGTGTGAACGTCCGTCGTCCGTATTCTACTTTTTAAGTATCTTGCCAACTAATATCATTTCATAGAAAACACATTTTGTAGCCCAAAAAGGCACATTGTCTTGAAATTTCTCCTTTAATTAAACAGAGTGTTGAGCTGAAAAAGCAAAGAGATTTGGTTTAAGAGAATTTCAACCAATTGAGTCATCATCAATTGAGGAGACTCCGACAACTTCCAACAACTTTGTTTTTTATTTTTCTATCGTTTTTTTTTCCATGAACAAGCATGAACAAAGCTGTTTTTCCAAGCCCAATTATTTGTTTTTTGTTTTGTGCAGAAGCTGAAAAGTACCCCAACATTCGTCTGCATTTTTATCACAAGATGGTGCAGGCTGACTTTGACAACGGAGTCATCTTCTTCACAGAGTAAGCATTCAGAAAAAAACCCAAACTAAAGCGCGTCATTGACGGTTCAAAACATAGATATTCGATATCTATGGTTCAAAAATACGTGACGGCAAAAAGCATCTGCAGCGAATACGCGCACACGTTGCGCTGTTTGCGTAGAGCAAAATGACACGCTCATTTGCTGATCGAGCATTTCGGTTTTGGGCATATCGGCTTCGATAACTCACCGGTATGGAATACAAACGCAAATATGCAAATAGCCGTACAAAAGCCGTACAAAATTTCTAGGTCTCCATAGGTTTGTGCACAAACGTGGATGTGCCCAGCAGGCATTACTTTGTACTTGAAGTTAGCCCTCTAGTAATTTAATATAGCTCTATGCTTGTGATTGACTTATGTTGGACTTGTTTAGGACTTGTGATCATCACAAGTACCTTGACTACAACCTTGCTTGAGAAACAGACGGAGATCTCGCCGTATTTCAAAGGAACATTTTCTTTTCTAACCCAACCCCTCCAGTAAGGACGGGTCAAAGGTCAAGGCATGCCCGGACCTGACCATTGGCTGTGATGGCGCGTATTCCACCACCAGACGCCAGATGATGCGGTGCGGACGCATTGATTTCAGTCAGGAGTACATACCCCACGGATACATGGAGCTGTGCATACCACCGAAAGAGGGCAAGGCAAGGCTAACTCCCCCTCCCCCTCCCACCCCCTATAGAGCTGTGCACAAGTATCCAACGATTTAGCCTGTTCCAAAACACTGTGCCACTGCCATGCCAAACTCAATTTAATTGAGCTTGGCAATAGCTTGTCTATCCGGTTCGTAAGTGTGATGCGTTATTTCAACTTAAACCCAGTGGTGTAGTCGAGTACTTTTTTTCCGAGTACCGAGTACTGCCAAGTACTTAGGTTGCCGAGTATGAGTATGAGTACTTGGTCTCCGAGTACAAGAACAGATCTCCGAGTACAAGAACAGATCTCCGAGTACAAGAACAGATCTCCGAGTATGAGTACTTGTACTTCCGAGTACGATTACGAGTACTGTACTTCCGAGTACAAGTACGAGTACTTGTACTTCCGAGTACGAGTACGAGTACTGTACTTCTGAGTACAAGTACGAGTACTTGTATTTCCGAATACGGCCATTGGGCAAATGGTTCATTGTGCGTAATTGGCCCAGGCCCAGTCAGACCGATATACAGACCCACTCACGGCTAGCTTTTAAATGTGTTTGTCCGGACGTGCACAGAGGAAAATCAGAAAACCTTCGATTTCTCCGCAAGCCAATCAACCATTTCAAACTGAAAGTATCGATAAAATAAGGCTGTGGTATGTAAAGTCAAGCTATACTATTTTTTCCCGAGTACCGCTATTCGAGTACGAGTACTTTGATGATCAAGTACAATTTCGACATGTGCGAGTCAAGTACTTTGCTGCCCGAGTACGAGTACAGTCCTTTCAAGTACGAGTACTTTGTCATTTGAGTACAAGTACGAGTACCGAGTAGAGTACTACAACACTGCTTAAACCACGCCCACTACACACGGAGTTGCATTGAAATTCATTGGAACTATTGGAACCGGAAGTAGTGTGAAATGGCGTGTTCAGCCATTGGGTGCTAGTTATCAGTGTTATTAACAATTAAAATGTAGTTTTTCCTGAACATTTGAGAGTGAACTAACAAAATGGTGGCAATATTAAGCTTGCAGGATGTTAAGTCACCGAGTTTCGGACCTATACAGCAAGTTTCAGCAATTACATTTGTGTACATTTTGAGAAATTTGTCTGCGACTTCTGTTAGTCGCAGTCCAGTGTATGTAGGCAGAGTCCATGGGCTAGTTGATCTCCAAAATTAGACGCGCACTGCAAAATGACGCAATGTTAAATCCCCTCTCCTCTTCGCGCAGTTTGCCGCTGAAACCAACTACCTGCACATCTGGCCGAGGGATGAGTTCATGATGATAGCGCTGCCCAACCAGGACTGTTCCTTCACCTGCACGCTCTTCATGCCCTTCGTGAATTTTGACGAGATCGAGGCCGCGGGGGGCCAGGCTCCCGTCGACTTCTTCCGGAAGTACTTCCCGGATGCGATCCCGCTGATCGGGGAGAAGGCCATCAGGACGACATTCGAGGAAGGTCGGGCCCTTCCCATGGTATCAGTCAAAGTAAGTTTGTGTCTCCCAGAAACGTGATAGAGCTAAAGAGAATAATACAAATAGTAATAACTGGACTTATAGAGCGCCAAATTGCCAAAGGATACATTCCAAATACCATATCAGATCCCTGGGGAGTATACAGCTCGATGCTGCCATTTTGGCGCAAAGCAGCTAAATCAACCACAGTAACCATCTCTGCCCTCACAGGTACCCATTTACTCCTGGGTCGAGAGAAGCAATGAGTGACAAAGTGCCTTGCCCAAGGGCAGTGTTGTAGTCGAGACCCTGCAAGACCATCACAAGACCAACACAAGACCTTCAGTCTCAATTCAAATCACAAGCTATTCAAACGAACTGTGACAAAAGCATTCCTTTAATTTTGTTCATCCACTGTGACTTGTGACTGGTCTTGTGATGGTCTTGTGTCTGGTCTTGTGATTGTCTCGGCTACAACACTGCCCAAGGGCACTCACAATAATTTGGGACTTCTCTTGCTCTGACAACAGTCCTTGGGATTAAAGGGAACATGTACTGCTTATTTCAGTGTAACAGTTTATATACTCCGGATAATAAGGACTAGTCTATAGAATATCCTCTTGCACAGCAAGAGCCTATGATATGTGAGCAGATTCAGCGATCAGTTATGCAAACAAGACCGCGTCTTGGCCTCGAGACTCTGACCATTCAGCGAGCGCCTTCTATCGGGTCTTCCATATTAGTAATAATAATAATAAAAATAATAGTGGGTATTTATAAAGCGCACGTATCCACCAGGACTGGTGCTCAAGGCGCTACATCATTATTACCCCTGATCATTGGGCACATGAAACATTCCAAATACCATCTCAGCTCCCTGGGGAGTATACAGCTCGATGCAGCCTGTTTGGCGTAAGGAAGCTACTTCAATCACAATAACCATCTCTGCGCTCACAGGTACCCATTTACTCCTGGGTGGAGAGAAGCAATGAGTGACAATGTGCCTTGCCCAAGGGTACACGCACCATGACCCCGCCAGGACTCGAACCCACAACCTGCAGCTTTACCCACAGACCACAAATCAGTGCCTTAACCACGAGGCCACAGCACTCCACACTTATTATTAAAAAGACATGGCATCCAAACTGGCCAATACACAGCTTAGTCCACACTGCTGATTGTAACGAGGTCACAGTTTCTGAAAACCACTCCATTTCTGGTTTCTTTTTTGTAGTGTTCCCCCTATAACTACAAGGACAAGGTGGTCATTCTGGGAGATGCAGCCCATGCCATGGTGCCCTTTTATGGCCAGGGGATGAACTGTGTAAGTTTGGATGCCTTATTGGTGTTGTGCTCACACGTAGGGACAGTTTCATCATGTTTGTCACTCATTTTTCTGTTCTGTACAAAGGCAATTCCACGGAAAGTGGATTATGGCTGAAAAATGGAACATTTGTGATATCTTGAGAACTAGAAGCATCACAACCTCTAATGTAGTATTAAGTACATTAACCCTAACTCCCGAGAATTTTTTACTGTTTTGCCCCCCCCCCCTTTTTCCTTGCCCCTCCCCCAGTTCCCCTCCCCCCCCCCCCCCAGATTTCTCCCAACACTTTATCAACAAATAAATTGATTATGTTTATTTTCTTCACTGTTAAGATTCATAAAATATGGACACATTTTGGGCCAATGAAAGCATTATATACATCGGTACTTAATACAAAATACGCCACATATGCAATTCATACAGCCGTAGATAGTGTGCAGCCAACGTCTTTGTACATTTGGTATACATTTGTTATACACCATTCTGCGGTTTGATATATTTCTCATTCATGAAAATGACTACACTTAAAAGTTGCTCTAGTGACTTATTTCCGGACCATTGACAATGGGCACGCGCACGCGTACACAGGCTTAAGATTTTTTTGAATGCATCCCAAAAATATTTCCTTGCCCCACAAATTTGAAAGTCTGGTGCCACCACTGCTGCAGTTATCAATGGGTTACAATTGCAGTGATTTCATTTAGTTCTCGCATAAGTTACATGTACAACCATTTACACTTTTGACTTACTGGCGCGATATAACAAAACAATTGTTGACTGCTATGATGTGGGATATGTCATGTCCCCCTCATACAACATGCGTAGCACTCTCGGCAACAATAATTGTTAAATGATATCGCTCACTATTCTTGCTTGCGCTAATCCCGTGTCCAAAGGATGGAGTGGATACGCCTTTCCACAATGCACTTAATATTTTTCATTTTTACATCAGGGTTTTGAAGATTGCATTGTCTTCAATCAGTTCTTGGACAAGTTCAACAATGACTTCGGTGAGTGGAGAGTAGTTAGCGATATGTTGCATTAGGCCCCCCCCCCCCCCAAAAAATCTCCGGTTTCTGGTATGCGCGCGCGTCGCCGTAGCCATGCGCGTCGGCAAAATGAAAAAGTTTTTTTTTTCAATGAAAGATGATGTCTGAAAACCGCCAAACTCACTGGTCTGACTGCAATCCTGCTGCTGCACAATTTTAACGTGTTTTTAAATTGGGTTATGGTCGAGAATAAGCTTTATGTGGCCTCTCTGGACTCCCATATAATTTGCACTAAGTTTAGTCGGGCACCATTTGCAGTCATCAGCCGACATTTGAAGCAAAAAAATCAGGTAAAAAAAAAAAAAACAGACGCGTCGCCGCACCACTTTTTGGGCAAGCTTCATACCAGAAACCAGAGACTTTTTTTTTTTGGCCTTAGGCACTTTTGTTTGATTTTAGTTGTGTTTCAGCAAACCTCAAGATTTGAATTAAATGTAAAACATGTGCCCTGTTTGGAATTATTCTTGAAAGGTCATTTAAAGGTAGAGTTCATCATTTGCAGCTATCCAAAAAGTAACTGACAAAATTACTGTTGAAAGCGTATTTGGTTTAAAGGTAGTAATGGCACTAAACTCCCTGTGAAATTTTCTTTCTGGCATGCTGTCATTTTGAAGAAAACAATAAAAGAAGGTCATTTCCAAAGATGCGTCTAAAGACGCATTTAAAAAAAATTTCCGTAAGGTGTTCGTTTTTATTTCGGCGAAGCCGTTAAATGAGTGTGCGCAAGTGTTGACATGACTCACACACGTGCCCGGTTGCTATAATTCATCGGTTCAGTGTGTGACGTCGCGTAGCTGCAATCAGCTGAATAAAAACATGTCCAGGATGCTGATTTCGGGAACATTTCAAAACATGACTTAGCAACTTTTGAATAGAAGTCAAAAACCTAGCATATTGTTTTCTCGAAATTTTCAGCATTCTATAAGCTAAATTTTCATCAGGTTAGTTATTAAGCATCTGTCTTTACATTTTGAGCAGTCTTGTTGCTTCAAACAAACATAATGCACAAATTACAAATGATGTCAAGTAACTGTTTTTAACAGTTTAGAGCTCTCAGCCTACATAAAGCAGGATTGACTGGCTGTGACTGTTTATGTAGAACTTGATACAGCTTTGCTTTGACTGTAGGTGATTGATATGCCAGCTGTGCCTACCAATTGTCTGCTTTTGTCTGTTGACTGAATTTGACTAACCACAGTGCTTACTTGAAATATGAACTGATTGTTGTTGACTTGCCTGTGTAAAAGGCATGGCAGGGGAAGAGGATTGATTTTTTGACCGCCTGTGACTGTTCAGACAGCAGGAGGGTTAATCATACAGTGTTATTATAAAGAGATATATCTTGTCAAAATTATAATTAGCAACAACTGTGTATATTTAGAGTGACATACAGTTTGTTTTGAAGTGACTAGAATCTTTTCTTAGGAACTGAATTGTCTCCATTGGGAATCGATTGCTCAAAAAAAGGGGAATCATGATTCCGATTCCAATTTTAGAATCATTTCTATTCGATTCTGGCCTGGAATCACCCAAGCCCCCCCAAAAAAGGAATAATTTTGGAGGATTGCGGCAACATGGAGGCAGTTGAAGGATTTTGAAGGCCTAGGGGGTTAGGTTTAATAACTGACCGTTAAGTCCTTTGAGTCACATGGATGTAAGACTGACCAATATTTCTGACAACATGAATTCTTTATTATTCAGCCAAGGCCCTGCCTGCCTACAGCGAACACCGCAACCCAGATGCGAAGGCCATATGTGACCTGGCTATGTACAACTACGTTGAGGTACAGTCATAAATAATATTCAAGTTTTTGTTGTTTTTCTTCATCTTGTCAAGTTGAACATGGCAAATCTTTTTAACTGGTTAAAGGCATGTTAGGAAGATTTGTAATTACTAAGGGAATAAATGTGTGCTCCGGAGGTTTTTATCACTCGTTTAATACCGCTTAGAGTCTGGGTGCTGATAATTACCCGAGCCGGAGGCGAGGGTAATTATCAGCACCCAGACTCTAAGCGGTATTGAACAGAGTGATAAATACCGACCGAGCACATATTTATTCCCATTCATAAATACCTTATCCGTAAAAAAATTATCAAATAATTCGTTCAAAAAATCCCGATTTTGTTCAACAAGTTCACTTCATGTTTTTGAAACATCCCTCTAGCAAAATAATGGAGTGTTCAGCTGGCGAGTAAGATGTAAACAACCCTTTTATGGAGATTGACGCGCGCGTAGCATGTTCTGCGCGATGTCACGCAGAACGCACCTGGGGCGTTGCGTTTTGAATTTAGAACTATACAATTCTGTCTCGCTTGTAGTGTTGCGCATGCCTACGTGAGGATTGTGAACGTTCAACCAATGAAATGGTAAGAGGCACTGAATTTTTAGGAGTCCACATTTTATTGTGACACTGGAAAAGTGTTTAAGACCAGCTAGCCATGTCTTTATCATCCGTTTAAGACCGGCCACGTGACGGGCTCTCGACCAATAGGAATAGCTAAACTGTCTGAGGTATTTATGAATGGAAACTAACGTACTTATTTATTGAGGAAAACCTTACTCAAGCTTCCAGAAGAGATTATTCAAACTTCCTGAGATCTCAGCCCTGTCCCATGTATATCTTTTAGGACAAAATCCTGTATCGCAGATAGAGTTTTTCGATCGCATTTTTGTGTTTGTTTGCAGATGAGGTCTTTGGTGAACTCCCGTTGGTTCCTGTTCCGGAAGCGAGTGGACAAGTTCTTGAGCTGGTTGATGCCAAGCAGATACATTCCCCTGTACTCCATGGTGACGTTCAGTCGCATCCGATACCACACCGTCATACAGCGATGGAAGAAACAAGACATGGTGAGTGCATTTGAAAGCATTATCACATTGTTGAGATACTTGCTGAGAACATGGACTCCAGGCACATGTACCCGCTCACTTGGTCACACAGGAAGATTTGGGTACCAGACTGACTGATTGACGCACTGACTGGCTGTCACTTTTGGTCATAGAGTTATATTTTAAAAAATTTGAGAGCGCACTCCGTATACTACGAACGTGCACGAAAAAATGCACAATACAATGGTTTGGAATTTCAGCTATCCAGAATGAGTCATGCTACATTTCCAAAAAAATACTTACGGATGCAAAATTCACAGATACACATCAGGAATATTTAAAGCTATAGTCCATCATTTGTAATTTGTGCATTTTGTTTGTTTGAAGCAACAAAAGAGTTCAAAATCTAATAAAGGATACTAAGCCACTAACCTGATAAAGTTTCAGCTAAGCTTCAGCTGTACATTCCGAGAAAAACCAGCATTCTAAGATCTCAATTTCAAATCAAAAGTTACTGAATCATGTTTTGAATTGCAGCTATACGCGACGTCGCGCACTGATCCGACGAATTATAACAACCGCGCGCGCGTGTGCGTCGTTCCAATACTTGCGCGCGCTGCGCTGAATAACAAAACGAACTACTAATTTAAATTTTCCAACGGTGCTTCTTAAGAATCACCGTTGGAAATGCCTTCTTTCGTTGATTACTTCAAAATGACAGCTTCCCAGAAAGAGTAATTTCACAGGGAGTTTAGTTCCCTTACTATCTTTCAACTAAGTATGTTTTTCAACAATAATTACGCCAGTTACTTTTCGGATGGCTGCAAATGATGGACTATAGCTTTAAGAAAATAAAAGCCAAAGTGAAACATATTCAACTTACGGTTCTTCACCCTCTCGGTGGGAATTTAGAAGCACAACACAACCGGAAAAATAACTCGGCAAAATTGCAGGTGGGCAAGATTTTGCAGCTATCGCTTCATGCGTCACGTCGGTTTGAGTCTCTACAAGCTCCTGTCCTGTACCAGATTCCCGCGCTGTGTGCTCCAGTACGCATGAATGAAACCCTGATATGTTACATAACCACGGCTAAAAGAAATGCAAATCTATGAATTTAAAGGACAGCTGTAAATAGACAAAGGACCGGACAACAGACGATTACACTAAACTCAAACCAAACTTATACCATCTTTAATACAAAAGCAAAGGGGGAAAAAAATAAGAATTATGAAAAACTGGCAGCACCGCTGAAAGCGACATGGACGCGCGGCCGCCATACTATAGGTGGAACAATAGACCGATCAGGATTGGTAATAAGCCCCGCAAACCTTAGCAACGGCTTAGGAATGTCATAGGCTCAGTCAAAGTAAACTCAGAAACTCAGTCTCCGCATGCAAGGTGTAGCGTATGTCATACAAGGTGTAACGTACGTCACACAAATCTCAGCACTAAGATTGAAATTTTGTTCAGAACTGGCAGTACGGTTTCTTTTGAGGTTTTACATTGGGGAGACCAGGAACTCCAGCAAACACAGAGCACAAAGCGACGCCGCTTGGCATTAGGGGATGTTTTTCTTTTGATTCACGAGCCCAAGTCGCTGCCATGATTCACAAGCACAAGTCGATGCCGAGGTATATTTCATATTACAGCATACTTTAAAAAGCACAAATGGGAGACTTATTTGGACGATAGTCTGACGCATTTTCAAAATTTTTGATATCATTCCTCAATATCGAAAATCTTGATATTTCGATATGATAAAAAAAAATTGCTGTCGGCAGTATCGATATCAAAATAATATGGAATAATCAAGTAACATCAATATATCTACGGTGCTTAGACCAGCTTTACTAGGTTTACGTTGTCTTGTTTTTAATATTCACCCGGTTTTGATGAGTTTTGACCCGTCACCCTCTTCACAGATTGTCAACAAGGGGCTGTTCTATCTGCTGTGCCTACCTGTCATCATTGCTGGAGCCCTCACGTTAAAACGCTTTAAACCAGACGTATTCAGTTGGCTGAAATTCAGTGGAAAGACCTAAATTGTTTTCATTTTTTTTAATATTTCACTCACGGATTATAGGGTTAAGTTTTCCTTTTTTGGATTCAGTATTCAAAACTATAGTAGCTGAAAGTACATGTAAAATTGTAAACCATACTATTTGGGAGTGGAATTTAATATTTTTTGTACCCAGACTTTTTTGTTTTGTTATAAATATAAATGTGTGCATTCAAATTGAAATTTCCCAGATTAGAAGAAACTGTTGTTTAGCAAATGATCTGGAAAGTTCTGGAATGGTCAAGTATATTAATAATAATAATAATAATAATAGTGGGTATTTATAAAGCGCATGAATCCACCAGGACTGGTGCTCAAGGCGCTACATTATTATTATTACCCCTGATCATTTGGCCCATGAAACATTCCAAATGCCGTCTCAGCTCCCTGGAGAGTATACAGCTCGATGCTGCCTGTTAGGCGCAAGAAAGCTAATTCAATCGCAAACCATCTCTGCCCTCACAGGCACCCTTTACTCCTGGGTGGAGAGAAGCAATGAGTGACAAAGTGCCTTGCCCAAGGGCACACGCACCATGACCCCAGGCTGGACTCGAACCCACAACCTGTAGCTTTACCTGCCGTCCACGAATCCAATGCCCTGAACCACGAGGCCAGAGGCTTTCAACCATAAACCATTGCGAACAATGAGTTTGGTTATATCCTGTCTTTGATACTGTCATTTCAAAGGTTCCGTTTGTAAAAATAACAGTATACATGTATCTCATATACACTGCGTTGCAATGCTGCGTTGCGCGCTTGTACCTATGTAGGATCGGCCAACGCACTTGGGACTCTCATGTCTGCAGGAAAGTTTGCAGTTATCAAAGGTTACACCGCAGTAAGCTTCTACCCTTTATCTTTTATACTGGCACGATATAACGCAACTGCTGTTTACTGCTGTAAAACGCATCCAACATTACAGCAGTCAACAGTTGTTAAACAGTGCGTCTCTAATGCATAGCTATGCAAGAACGTGCCCCAAAATTGTAATAAGACAACAGCATCTAAAGTACAGTAAACTCCGGCTAAGTCGACATCGTACAACTCGTCAAATCGCTCAAGTCGGCCGTCTGACTAAAGTCCTGATTGTCTGTAATGCATTTCCATTGAATTTTTTATTTCTAAGTCGGCTTTTATAAGTCGCCATATCGCTCAAGTCATTGGTTACTCTAGGTGCCTTTCCACAAAAGGCGTAACAAAATTTTTTGTGTAAGTTAGCATTAAAAAAATCAGGCATTGGCATCGACTTTCTGTACTGCGGTTGGCAAGAAGTGTCGAGTGAAAAGTGGTTTGGCACGGCCCCTGATAGCTGCATCGGTACTAGGTACACGGTGTTGCTGCACAGCCAAGCTAAAGGGTTTCCTACAGCATGCATCGTGAGCATATCAATACCAGTACCCCCTCTAGTCTGTACGCATGCGCTCTGTCCATTTTAGGGGTCGTCTTATTGAATGATGCAGTCAAAACCAGTGGTGCAGTCAGTGCGTGCGTGGTATACCACGCACGCATTTAATTCGTAACCGTGCACATACATGTATTACTATTTTTGTAAACGTGGTCTCCACTATCAATACCCCAAATGTGATGATACAATTCGAGGATTATTTTGCTGGATTCAACTCAAGCATTAAGGAGATAAACCAGGGTAAATTGAAGCCAATTAGTGCAATGAATCATGTGTGCAAAAAGGCCATTCATGTAAGTCGGCAAAATGACGACTTGTACAGCAGTCGTCACAAATTCTCGGGTCTCGAGAGTGCCGACTTAGCCGGAGTTTACTGTATACGTTAACTTATGAACAGGTCAGTGTACCAGACGTTATTTAGATTTCACTCAAAAAGAGTCACTCTCAGATGGCTCGTGTATTTCCCACATGGTATCTTAAGAAGAATCTTTATATTTTTGTGTCGGTGCCGTTCCACTGTAGCTTATATTTTAAAGACACATAGGTTTTGCCTGAATTCTTTGGAAAATTTGTTTGAAATGTCTATTTTGTGTAAGCTTGTTAAGTTGTTTTGTGATCAGCCTTTGGACAATTATGAGTGAGCAGTGCTTATAAATTGTCATCGTTACAGGGTAAAACCCAATATTGGATTGTCAACTTGCCATTTTGCATTTCTGATGTCGGCCCAAGGCTTATAAGGGTATTTGGGTATTAGTTTTGTATATCTACTACATATGAAATAGCAGTATTATGTGTATTTATGGAACTTTTTGTAGCCCAAGCATAGTCCTGTGAAGTGGATCTCGGTCAAAAGAAAGCACCTCATTTTTTTGTGGTGGTGGTGGCTGTGCGGGAGGGATAGGGAACTAAACACCCCCCCCCCCCCCCCGGCCATCTTGACATTTGGCCGTTTTGTTGTTGTTGTTGGTTTGACAGCACCAACACCTCTCGACCAGTACTAGCAGTAACACCCCTCCCTAGTTCTATAATATATTTTTTTTATAGAAGACAAACGGATCGAGGGGGGGGGGGAACCAGCTCTGTCAAAAAAAAAAATTTCCCATAGCAATTCATGAAACAAAATGCGACCCCCCCCCCCCCCCCCCACACCCAAAAATATTTTGTACTGGTAAAAATGTCCGCCTCTGCACAAAATATGGACAGAGCCAGCTTGGTTAGGGGTTATATGTACAATATTCTGTGATATGGTGTTAATAATCGTCAGATTTGAACAGCGCCCCCATTGACACTATAATACGAGCCTCCCCCCCCCCCCCTTGCCCCTCCCACCTATTGATTTTCGGAGGCTAAGTGTCCGGAGAAAAAAACCTGTCTACATAACAGATTGTTTTGCTGATACATAAAGTCATGAAAGTAATGATTAGACTGAATTGAATCAGATGATTTTTCTGTTGCTTGTTAGAAATGCTCGTGGGCGGCCTAAAACTAAGTTAGGCTTGAACTCGAAAAACAATTTTGTGCTGAAATGTCGAGAATTAGCACTTTGAAAAGATGCAATCCCTTGATCATACAAAACCCAGTTGTATATCATGAAATATCCTGTACAAGGTGAAGTATTCAACACACTAAAATCAAAAGAAAAGCACATACCCAGCACTTGGACTGTGCATGTCTCTCACAAGAGATAAAAAATTAAACCAAACGCACATGGAAAGGACTACCAAAACGAACCTCTAGTTTTGAATATTTAAACAGCTGAAAAGTGTTGAAAACAGCCCAGAAATACATTTTAAAAAATGAAACAATACCATCTACCTTGTCCTTTTAGTTATTCCTATCAGAATATCAGCTTTCCAAAAATATGGAATGTACTATGTTGTTTTATATTCATTGTTTTGCTTATACATGTATTCTCTTCTGTACTACTTGACGTGCCTTAATAAAAATGTACTACGAAGGTAAATGTTCTTGTTAGCAGTGTTTCGTATTTATTTATATCATAGGAGGAAAGGCATTCGTCCCTGAAATCATTTATGAATGGGAATAAATATGTGCTCGGTCGGTAATAATCACTCTGTTTTATAAGACCGCTGTTTAAGTCTGGGCGATGATAATTACCTTCGCCTTCGGCTCGGGTAATTATCAGCACCCAGACTCCAAGCGGTCTTAAACAGAGTGATTATTACCGACCGAGCACACATTTATTCTCTTAATTATGATACCTTAACATTAACACGGATCAATTTTTCGGTGGATGTCTCATTTAAAAGTGAATAATTTTGTATTGTTAGAAATTTAGAAATCAAATTGTTTTCGGGATGAAATTCGATACAGCACGGTGAACACACATTTAAGTAGACCGTCGTGCCAGTAACCAGGAAGCGGGGTGTTCCTGTGCAGTTCTTGCAGTACCTACAAACACTCGGCCAAAAAAGAAAGTCCCCCCCCCCCCTTAATACTTTTTTGTCTAACTATAAAAACTACTGGGCACATCTTGCTCACTATACTCTTTGTTGGGCCCAAAACAATGATAAATTGTACAAAATGATGCAATTTATGACAAATGGTACCAAAAAAAGTTGCACTTTTGTATACGTGCAAGGTGAGTGTGAACCACAAGTTGCACGTATAAAAAGTGCAACTGTTGTCGGTATCATTGATCATAAATTGCATAAATTTGTACACATTATCACTGTTTTGGGCCAGATAGAGAGTATGGCTGGATTGCTAAGGAATTTCTGTACTGATTAGTCGTTATTTGAGTGAGAGGTGCTCAGTAATTTTTTAGTTACACAAAAAAAAGTATTGGGGGGGGGATTTCTATTTTGGTTGAGTGTATGCGAACCATTATAGAGCTATATTTAATATAGCTCAGTGCATGGAGCTATAAAATATGCTCAGTGGTACGATCCAGAGTGATGCACATTATTGTGTTGTGCACTGCATGCACCAATGAACAGTCTCAGTACTGGGCAAAAGACACAATCGACCATATTCAGTCTGGTAGCTTCTATTATGGGCTCGAGTGCATGGGGTTAGCTTGTACATGACCGCTGGGTGCGGCGCGACACACTATCAATTTTTAGTGTACAGGATGTACATGTCTTTTTGAGTTGGATAGATATAGTGGATTGCGAGTTTACATTCTCTGAGAAAAAAATGGAATTTCTCCACTGAACAATTATTAATTTCAACCGAGAGACTGGGCCAGTGCCTCCGGACAGATCTGAGGAAGGAACTTGCCGACTCCAGTGAGTTATAATATTAGAAGTTTCGAGTAATTGAAAAAACGAAAAACGATTCAAATCAATCAGTGCCGGCTCGGCAAGTTGAAATTGGGGAACGTGATTATCTTTATGAATTTCATGGTATTCTGGTAAGTTCATAGTTAAAACTTTAAATACAGTTTTCTCAACCTTTCACTTCAGCAGAATCTCGGGTTGAATCACAGGCTAGCTGCTCCGGCACAAGCGATGTCACGCGGTACGTACGTCACTAGCCAGTGATTCAGCCTGTGGTTCGGCCCAAAATTGACAATAATGTTCAGACTATACAGTTCAAATTTGCTTCCTTGGTTAAAAGAAGAATTTCGTCTGCGGTCCAAACTTTAAATGAGCAGTAAACTTTAATTAAAAGTATTATAATGCCTCATGTTTTACCATTATAATGTTTTTTTTTCTTTCAATCCAGGAATCCTGTATGCTTTAAGCT